CTCATCCTCCTCCTCGTCCTTCTCCTCCTCCTTCTCCTCCTCGTCCTCGTCCTCCTCTTCCTCCTCCTCCTCCTCCTCCTCCTCCTCCTCCTCCTCGTCCTCCTCCTCCTCCTCATCATCATCATCCGTCATCCTTCTTGGAGGCGCGGCACTCCGCACCGCTCCGCTCCGCACCGCGGGCGCACAGTGCTCCGCGCGGCTCGCCCGGGCCGGGCTCCGCCGGAGCCGTTCTTGCACCCGCGCCGTGTTGCCTGCGGCCGCCCGCGGGGCCTCTCCGGGGGCGCGGTGCTGCCCATCACTGCTGGCTGGAGCCTGCGGTGTCCGTGCGAGTCTGGCAGCACGGGCGAGACTGATGGCAAGGATGCGCGATGCGGTGGACATATGTCGTCGTCGCCGTCGTCGCCGTCGTCGTCATTCATGGGTCGGCGGCACCGGCCGCAAGACCTTCGCAATCTGTTGCATGGACGGGTGGTGAGGACAGAAAGAGCCTTGGACGCCGACCGAAATCTGCACCCCGTGGGGCGGCGGGCGGCGCACGCCGTGACGGGCTCCCCAACGAGAGCGGCGAAGGACGGACCCCAGAGGCAAGGAGGGCACCCCCAGGGCACCCGTGCGTCCTTAGCACGAGTTTTTGAAGGGGCCCTGGGACACACAAATAAATACACACCAATGAACATATCCTCGGTATTTTCCCATATGTTCTGTGTTTTTGTCTTCCCCCCACTTCCCATATTTCCCAATATGTTCCTGGGAGTGGACGATTGATTCATTGTGTCCGTGTGTTTTTTCTCCTCCTGAGCTTTGACTGCACAGTCAACCCGTAGAGTAAGGATGCGCGATCAATGGGCGAGGGCCCTTGGTAGCCGTTCCGAAGCCTTCCCGAGCGGGGCGCGACCAACGGAGGTGGCGAAGAATGGGCCGAGGAGGCAGGGCTGCTCCAGGGCACCCTGGGGAAGGTTGCACATCCTTACTACAGTCGGGGCGTTGACCTAAGGAACCCTAAATAAGGAACGAGGCCCCTTTTTCCCACAAGTTCACCTTCGCTTTCCTGTCGAAAACATAAGGAAAGCCTGAGGCAAGCTGCGAAACACTTTAGGAACGCGGAGCCCCTCCCCAACGAAAAGGGTTCCTTCTTCAGGGCCCCGACTGTATGCGGGTTGACTGTGAGGATGCAAAGGCCTTGGACGCCATGGTCGACGCTTCTCGAGCGGGGCGGACCATCGAGAGCGGTCGAAGATGGACCGGAGAGGCAAGGCTGAAAGGGTACCCTTAGGAAGGTGACCAATCCTTACCATCGGTTTCGACCGTACCTCCACGTTGCTGTCCGAGTCGACGTCGGCCGAATCCGAGGTTATGTAGTCGGTCTCGTTGGGCTCGATCTGCGAACGAGTCCCTTCATCTCAGGTCACCTCCACGAGCGCGGGGCCGATGTTCGACGCCAAGTGCTTCCATGGACCCTTGTAAGGAGAGGGGAAGGCGAGGAGCAAGGGGAGGCAGCAGGGTGCGAGACCAGGGCAGAGAAATCTAGAGACCCGCCGTGCTGTTTCTGTTCCGTGCGGGGCCCCAGGACGTCCCGACCCGTTCCCTGGGGCTGGTCTGGCATTCCGAATCGTTTCGGGCGGGTGATACAGCGAGCGGCTTGAGTAAAGAACACTTACTTTTCAAAAGGGGCTCGGTCGTTCCTTAGGTTAGCATGCGTTATTTGCGGTTACTTATGCGTTATTTGTTATTTATCGTTCCTTATGCGTTATTCCTTGGGATAAAAAAGGGGCTTCGTTCCTTATTTATCGTTCCGTAGGTCAGGCCGATGACTGTACTGGGGGGTGACCTCAATGGAGGGTGAAGAAAGGGTCCTACAGGGGCTCTCTCGGGTTCCTTTCGGGCCCCTGCTGGTTCCACAAGGGGCCCCGAAGTGCACCTCTGGGGCCCCCTTCTTCACCCTCCGTTTGGGCCACCCCCCAGTACTATAGCCGGCCGCTCTGCGGTGGATCGGGAGCTTCTGTGTACAGAAGACGGGGCTTGCGCTCTTCGGCGAGAGGAAGCTGAGCGAGATGAGAATGAGCGCGATGTTCAGTAGGGCAAGGCTCGCGAGCCGCCCCCCAGCACCACCCGCCAAGTCGTTCTGAGACGGTCCTGAGGCCCGGGGAGGGCCCCACGGGGGCCGAACGCGCGGACTGCGCTGGCAGAGCTTGTGGGCCCCCGGGGCCGCGGAGAGGCGACGAGATTGGCTGCCAGACCCATGGCTGCCAGACCCATGGCTGCCAGACCCATGGCCGCCCCCGAGCTCCCAAGGAGGAGAAGGAGGAGGAGGAGGAGGAGGAGGAGGAAGAGGGGGAAAGAGGAGGAGGAAAGAGAAGGAGGAAAGAGGAGGGGGAATGAGGAGGAGGAGGAGGAGGAGGAGGAGGAGGAGGAGGAGGAGGAGGAGGAGGAGGAGGCAAGAGGAGGATGCAGCCAACTCGGATACCCGCTGCGGGCCTCGGTCGTCGACGTCCACGTCCGG